CCCCCCCCCTTCAATCTCTCCATTTAGCCATGACATCACCATCCGTCCAGACCTGCCAGGGTCCTCCAGAGGCCTTGGCCAATGACATCATTGCTCTGCACCAGACTCCAGAGACCCCGCCAGACACCACGCTCATCAGCCCCCCACCGGCCACAGAATGGGAGGGGGCTGCAATGGCCGAAGCCTGGGGTGTGATGGTGGAGGGAGGGAGGGAGGGAGGGAGGCAGAGAAGACGCACCTCTGGATGGTGAACCCACAGAATCCTAGTGTTGGAAGAGACTCCAAGGGCCATCTAGCCCAGCCCCATTTTGCCAGGAAGGAGGACCCAGTCAAAGACCTCTCGACAGATGCCTCTCCAGCTTCTGCTCAAAGGAGGCTCCACCAAGCAGAACAGGTTTCATTCCAGGGACACCAAAACCCAAAGTCAAAGGATGCTCAGGTCACATTATACACAATAGCACAGTCTATGTAAAATGGCCAAATCCAGGTTGGCTTTGAGGACTGAATGGGTGGGTGATTGCTCAGCTCTGCTTCCTCTGAGCCCTGGATGCCTGGCTCAGGCGGCAATCAGAGCAGCCAATGGGGCTTCCTCTCAGGGATCGGCATCTCCTGTCCTTCTGGAGTTCTCCAAGATAGGAAGGACAAAAGAAGCCACACAAGGGTCCAGATCCTGCTGGTTTCATAGACATGGGCCAAGTCCTCTTCCTTGTGTGGTTGACCACGTTGAAAAAGACTTGTGGTTGTTCCAAACTAAGGCCCAGGGGCCAGATACAGTCCAAAACACATGGAGGGCTGAAGTTGGCCCATGCCTGGTTTAGACAATGCTAAAGGGGATCTGAAGTGACTGCTCAGTAGAACATATCTATCTATCTATCTATTATTTATTTATTTATTAACAGTATTGATATTCCGCCCTTCTCCTCACCCCGCAGGGGACTCAGGGCGGATTACAATGTACATATACATGGCAAACATTCAATGCCATAGACACACAACATATATAGACAAACAGTCAGAGGCTATTTAACATTCCAACTTTTTCTGGCTGCCAGGGGAGCTGTCGCTTCACCGTCCATCTGTAACATTGATGAAGTACTTCCTCATTCTTTTGCATGTTTGCTGGAGATTTTTATGGCCTTGTAAATTAGTTAAATTAGCCTCCCCACATAAGTGGTACCTAAATTTCCTACTTGACAGATGCAACTGTCTTTCAGGCTGCAAAGGTTGACAACAAGCTACACAAATTGGTTGGAAGCTCACTCCAACCCCGGGCTGGCTTCGAACTCACGACCTTTTGGTCAGTAGTGATCTTAATGCAGCTGACTCCCAGCCAGCTGCGCCACAGTCCCGGTGCATCTATCTAGTAAAAGTGAACATATGTATGTACGTATGTAGGTGAGTATATTTGTGGACGCTTTCCTATTGGCTCCCACTTCCAAAGACCACTGTGACCCCCACTATTGAGGGATCAGGACCAAATTTGGCACATGGAGCAAAATGCTGAGGGGATTTAGGAGGACTGACGCACCAGGGTGGGAGTTGTAGTTCACCCTGCAACCAGAGAGTTTTCTGAACCCCACCAGTGATGGATCTGGACAAAACATAGTACACATATACCTAACATGACAAAATTCAAGTTTTGATGGAGTTTGAGGGAGTTAACCTGGCATGATGTGAGTTGTAATCCGCCCACATCCTTATGCACTTCCTTAATGGGACCGTTCATACAATCAAAAACAATGGCTTTTTTCCCAATAGATAGTGTTAGAAATTACCAATGGGCATCAATGGGGACCTAAGCATGCATACATAAACACATATATTATATATGCAAGGAAAAGGAGGCAGCCCCCCATCACTGGCTGAGAGCACCTGCTGTGCAACCAGAAGCCAGGCCTGAGTGCCCCCACCCCTCCTTCATTCCCCATTACTCCCCCCTTCCATTGTTAGATAGAATCTACTAGGAGCAGCAATGAGGGGCCAGAGACACAGCAATTGGGGCTTCTTCCCACTGGGAAAGACTCTGGACCCATGGCCTGGGAGGGAGGGAAGGAAGGAGAGGGGAGACATTGGGCAGAGCGGCCTTGGTTGACCACCCCTCTTCTCCCTCCTCCTCCTCCTCCTCCTTGAATTACTGAGTTGGAAGGGACCACATGGACTATCTAACCTCAGCAGACTGAAAGCCAAAGTCAAGGTTACAACAACCTCTGTTATAGAACTCCAATATGCTGATGACAACGTCCTCTGTGCGCATTCAGAAGAAGACCTACAAGCCACTCTAAACACCATTGCAGAAGCATACGAGAAGCTCGGCCTGTCATTAAACATCAAGAAAACCAAAGTGCTCTTCTAGGAGTCACTGGCCAATCCCTCCCCAATGCCAGAGATACAGCTTTGTGGTGAAACATTAGAAAATGTGGACCATTTCCGCTCCCTTGGCAGCCACCTCTCCACCAAAGTCAACATTGACACTGAAATTCAATTGTTTATAAAGCTATTGTCCTCCCAAGCCTGCTATATGCCTGCGAGATGTGGACTGTCTACAGACGTCAACATTGACACTGAAATACAACACCGCCTGAGCTCTGCGAGTGCAGAATTTTTGTG